CATCTGCCTCCAAGTACCTGGCCTTGTAATAGTGAAACACTAGGGGAGATGGGACAGCTCCCAGATTTACTGCTGGTCTAACTCGCTGTTTCAATAGCTTATATATCTTACCACCATGCCTTCTATTATCCTTCTGTGAGACAGTGAACTGTCACATGGTAGGAGAGTAAAAAACCCCAAGCAGTTAACTACAATTAACCAATCCTCTCAGAGGCTTCTGGGAGTGGGAGAGACTTGGGGAATATATAAACCCGGTCCACTTCATTGCAGAAAGAGAGACAGCTAAGGAACCAAGACAACACAACACCCAAGAAAACTGGAATGCTGATGATGTGCCATGGGGAAAAATCAGCTCCAGAAAGAGGCAGGAGAGAGGTGATTACCTTGTTAAAAAGGTACTGAGTGTGGAGACGGTTGGGCATAGACTGGGGTCTGCTTCCCTATGAAACGGTGGACTTGCCTGAGAGGTAAGAGAATTTATGGGGGGAATCAGACTAAGGGCTTTGGGTGTAAATGATGACAATCATGATGAAAAGCTAAATGCTGACATACCACTACTCCTACATTCTCTTTGGTGTCCTTTTTCTCCCCCAGGCTCATCCTGGCCCACCAGGCAATGGTGACATTGGGAACGGTAGGATTTGAGGCTTAGCTGGAGGGCCATGTCACGTTAGTGATTGTCTTCAAACTCCTTGGGTCTAGTGAGACTCCCCTGGCTCACCTTTAGAGGCCAGCACAGTGGCCATTCTTATCTCTTATAATCTGTGCTGAAACTGCAGATGGCAGCATACAAGCCTCCCATTTGATCTGAGCAATCCAGGTAGCCATTGCCTGGGACCAGTAGCCACAGAGCCTCAGAGATCTTTAGGTGCCTCTCTCCCAGTGAGAGTCAGGCACCTAAATACATTAGAATCTGGGTTATAGTCCCTGCTCTTCCGTAAGAATATAGATGGGGTGATGTCGGCTCCATTCTGTTCCAATCCATTGTGTCCCTCAAGCTCCTGGCCTCTTGCCAATGTGGCCTGCTGCGGGGCTCTGTGTTTGGAGGAGGAGGAGGAGATGGTGCCTGTGGAATACCTATAAATAATGTTCATTGTGACAGGATCCTATGGTGTCCATAGATTCATGTATCTCAAGATTCCACATTGTCATCAGAACAAAGAGGAGCCAACCTACAGTGATGGGGGCTGACGTGCAGACAAACTTTTATCTTCACCGAGCCACAATGAATGGAAAGATGATGAAGCGTTTGAGACATATTCAAGTCCCAGACTGTCCATCCTTCTCCCACACCACTGTTTATATCTGGCTATGTGGCGAGTTATTATATGCCGTGAAGGGTTAACGGATGTTTGCATCTCTTTGGTCTGGATGTTTTGAATTGTTTGTGTAGCTCCCAGGCAGGGGCTTTATAAATAATATCCTTATGATCTGGATTTCTGTGGCCCTGGAGCTGCATCATGTGTGTTTGAAGAAGGCTTGTCACGGTACGTCTACACAGCAAAAACCCAACAATCCTGTGACAGAATCTGAGCCTGGACTCAATGACTCAGGCTTGCACTGTGGGTCTAAAAATAGCAATGTAGGGGCCAGGGCTCAGACTGGAGCCTGGATGCCAAGATCCTCCCTGCCTCGCTGGGTCTCAGAGCCCAGGCTTCAGCCTGAGCCCAAAAGTCTATGGTGCTATTTTTAGCCCCATTAAGCCCAAATCAGTTGACCTGGGCCCTGAGACTCGCTGACCCCGGCTCTTTTTTTGCTGTGTAGACAGGCCCTTTGAGTCTTAATGATGCCACCAGACTTATTTTCTGCTGTATTCCTGACGTGTGTTTGGAAGTGGGGGCTGGCGGAATTCTCTCCTTACTCTGAGCCTTGGTGATCCGGGGGCCTTTGGGTTGAACAGTGCTATTGAAATGTCACTTACTAGTATGATTATCTTCCGTGTGTTCATTTCAGTGGATTCTCCAGCTCTGGCCCACCAGATGCAAAGGCCAGAGAGAGCTTTAGCTGCAGGTGGTGGTGCAAATGAGCATAAACAGCTGTTAAGGAACTGCCCAGCCCTGTGCTGGCTCCCCATTGGCTAATGGTACTATCAGACCCAGTGAGATAACAGGATGCTGTTGAAAAGGTAGAGGACAGAGGAAGGAAGCTGCTTCCAGGGAGGTGAAGCAGTGGGATTTGTTAAGATAGCTATGATTGTAAATGGTCTCAGAATTACCTCAAGCAATTCCATTTCCAGAACTCTCATTAAAATGATAAGAAACCAGAAATGGCAGATCAGAGAGAGGGGACAGGAAATGTAGGGAAAATATCAGGAATCAGAAATGGCTCCCAGGCCAAATACCAGGGCCATTTCCAAATCATGCCTCAGAGGATCATAGAAAATAGAGATGAAAAAGACTCATAAATCCAGTAACTGCCAATGCTGGATTATTCCCTCTTCGACATGTTAGAGTTCCATGCAGAGTTTTAAACATGCCAAGCTCCCTGAAGAGATGGAGGCATTGCTAACCTGGGCAGGTTAGGATCATTAGATGATAACAGTTCACACACAAAATCACAATGGGCCTGAGCAGCAGAGCCAGTTGGTTGGAAATCAGTTGTAGCTTCCTGCTCTGGAGAGCTTGGTTTGACCGGGCAGTTGTAGAACTTTTTGGGTTCTTCTCAAGGAAATGCCCTGGGGGTGAAAGGGCCTGGATTGAGAACCCAGGAAACCAAAGGCCTTTGTTGCATAGGCAGTGGCAGTGCAAACTCCCCCCCGCACACTATCTCACGAATGGGCCTCCCTCCTGTTCTGGAGGGGGTGGTGCTTTTGGTACTAATATCACAGGGCTGGCCATTGGTGCTGCCCTGCGAATCACTTTGTGTCTTCCCACTTCCAGAAGTGACTACATTTAAACTGGTCACACCCACCAGCTAGAAGGTGAGTGGACGACTGAGGCGGTAGGGCCATCCATGCTGAAAGCTGCCCAGCAGTTCAGATCAGTCCCCATATCCTGAGATAGAGCATTGTTTAAAAGGAAGCTGTTCCATGGCTGAAAACCCCAGCATGGCCCAAGATCATGTGTCCCTGTGCCTGGAAACATTCAGAGACCTGATGTCTCATCTGAGGACCTTGGGCCAGTTCTTCAACAGGTGTAAATCAACAAAACTCCAGACTGAATCAGCATAGCTCCCTTAAAGCCAATTTGAACTGATTTACACCAGTTGAAGACCTGCTCCCTTGAGTCTCTATATTCCAAGACCTCGGGCAGCAATTTTCAGCCTGGGGTGCCTGTTTACCAGAGGGAAGTCTAGCTGCAGCGCTGACATAAGCTTATCTCCTGTGACGCATATAAAATGCTTGGCTTAGCATGTTAACATTAATTTTGGATTGTCTCGTGACACAAAGCGTTATCAGCAAAGATGCATCCCAGGCCTGGAATTCTGGCTTAATCAAACCTCTTAGTCATTTAATCTTGTTAACAAAGCATAATTGCAATGCTATCAAATTAACCAGCAGCATGGAAATGCCAGTTTAATAGCTACTCCTGAGAGAGAAGAGAATTCTGTGATCTATGAACAGTATATCAGCTGTATGCAAATCATACCCAGCTATTCTCAACCATCATAGGAATTGCCCTGCTGGATCAGACCTGGGGAACATCCAGTTCAGTTACTCCAGAAGGAGGTGTGTGAGAGCCTGTAGATTCCAAGGTCAGAAGGGACCATTACAACATCTAGTTTGTCCTCCTGTATAAGCCAGGCTAGAGAATTTCACCCAGTTACTCCTGTACTCAGCCCAGTCACTTGTGGTTGGCTAAAGCATCTCTTCTAGAAAGGCCTCCAGTCTTGATCTGAATACCTCAAGAGATGGAGAATCCACCACTTCCCTTCATATTTTGTTCCCATGATTAATCACCGTCACGGATTTAAAACAAAAAACAGCCTAATTTCTAATTTGATTTGGCTGCGTTCAGCTTCAGGCCACTGACTCTTGGGCTGCCTTTCTCCGCTGGATTAAAGAACCCTTAGTACCCAGGATTTTCTCCCTGTGAAGGTTTGAATAGACTGTTATCAAATTACCTCTTGATTGAGCTCCTTCAGTCTCTCACTAAAGGGCATTTTTTCCATCCCTTTGAATAAATCTTGTGGTTCTTTTCTGAACTGTCTTCTCGTTTTCAACAAGCGTAGGTAATTAAGGGCTTGTCTACACTGGCAATTTACAGTGCTACAACTTTCTCGCTCAGGGGTGTGAAAAAAACACCCCGCTGAGAACAGCACGTTTCAGCGCTATAAAGCCCCAGTGTAGACTATGCCCCAGCACTGGGAGCTGCACCCCTCCTGGAGGTGGTTTCTCCCAGCGCTCTGCCGTGACCACACAAGCCACGTTAAAGCGTTGCCAGTGCAGAATAGCCCTCAGGAATAACCTGCCCATATGGGACGTTTCTTCCTAACCTTAGGCAGTTACAGCTTTGTTATTTGTCCTGGAGCATGAGAGAGAGCATGCATCCGATGAAGTGAGCTGTAGTTCACGAAAGCTTATGCTCAGATAAATTTGTTAGTCTCTAAGGTGCCACAAGTACTCCTTTTCTTTTTGTGGATACAGACTAACACAGCTGCTACTCTGAAACCTGTCTTTATCTCTTCTGTAGATTTTACCCTAATGTATCTGTAGATGCTCGGAGCACCTAGATAAATGTCGTCCAGTCATTTTTTGAGTCCTGCTAAGCTCTTAGCTAGCCTCTTAGTGGTACCTTGCTTCTATATTGTATGCAAAAGTATTTCCTTTTATCAGTTTGCCTTTCAGTTGGATAGGATGTCCCCTCCACGGGCTCCGCCCACCCCAGGATACCATCTCCGTCAGGCAAACTGTGTGCATCACAGCACTGGATTGAAATGGGCTATTGTGACCAGGTAAATTTATTACTGGGGCCAAACAATCACTCACCTAGACATTGGGGCAACCATCCCAGGCCTCATCTAATAGCAGTGTAGAGAATCTGTTTCTTTTGCTTCCTTAGAAAGAATCAGTGCTGCAGGCCAAAGCTCTGCTGCCCTCTGGCTACCAGTCCAGCACCAACAACCAGCTCTCACCTGGGGAGGATTCTTCACACACTTCAATGCGGCTTCTCAAATGGAAGGATTCAAAGACCCCCAGAGCCTCCTCTCCACTGACATGTAACCATTGCTCAGGCTTTACTGAGGGCCAATACAACAGTAAGATACATCAGCATCCACTGTCAGCAGCAAAAGGCAAGAGAGAAGCAGGGATGTGAAGCAATTGCCGGCTTTCTAGTCACCTGAATATCAAAGGACATAGCTGCTGCATGAACAAGTGTCTTTATTTTAGGGGGTGGCCAACCTGAGCCTGAGAAGGAGCCAGAATTTACCAATGTACATTGCCAAAGAGCCACAGTAATATGTCAGCAGCCCCCCCCCGTCAGCTCCCCCAACCTGCTCCCAGCGCCTCCCACCCACCAGCAGCCCCGCCGATCAGCACCTCCCCCTCCCTCCCTGCACCTCCTGATTAGCTGTTTTGTGGCGTGCAGGAGGCTCTGGGTGCGGGGAGGAGCGAGGGCACAGCAGGCTCAGGGGAGGGTGCGAGAAGAGGTGGAATGGGGGTAGGGCCTGTGGCAGAGCCAGGGGTTGAGCAGTGAGCACCCCCCAGCACATTGGAAAGTTGGCACCTGTAGCTCCAGCCCCAGAGTTGGTGCCTATACAAGGAGCCGCATATTAACTTCTGAAGAGCCGCATGTGGCTCCGGGCCACCCCTGCTTTTATTGCTACAATGTGTGGAATGCCAGCCAAGCCCCACTACAGGGAGGGTGAGAGAATGAAGAGATTCCCAACCCCACCCATTAATTTCCCCGAATCCTATTCCCAGGCAGGGAGAGTCACAAGAAAGGGATTGTGAATCATACTGCTCAGCAGCATTCAAAGGTGAGGCCTCCCCACTCCCTCTGTACTACCCAGGCAGGGTCTGAGGTACAGAGCTTTTCCCCTGATGAGGGATGGGTGTGTGTCATGGTGCGAGACTCACCCCTGTGGCGCCTCCTGCTGGTATCTCAGGGAATTAGCTCTTCCAGCCTCCGGAGCACCCTCTGCAAGCTGGTGTCTCGCTGCCGCTGGCCCCCGTGTCCCTTCCGGACCCTGGTGCCCCTTTCCCTGGGGTGCTGCCCCCTGGCAGTGCCCCAACAGTCTCTGGGCCTCCCAGGGGAACCCCCACCCACTATCCCCACCTCGCCTTGGCTACTGCCAGTCAGCATTGAGCCCCCGCACACTGGGGCAGACTGCAGTGTATAAGCCAATCATCACAGGCCGGGGGGGGTTGGACCTGCTGTGGGGCCTCGGAAAAAATCCACCACTGGGCAGCGGAAGCCGAGAGCCCTGGCCACCAGGCAGGTTGGGCGGGGGAAGTCTCCGCACCCTGACCCCTCTCCCCAGCAGCAGCGCTGGACAGGCGAGGTGGGAGAAGCCCTAGCACCCCAACCCTTGCTGTGGCCCTGGGACTGGAGGAAGCTCTCACTCCCTGCTGCGCCCCGGGGCTGTGGCATGGGGACAGAGCTTCTCCAGTCTTGGGGCCACAGGGTGGGGGGGCAGAAAGGAGCAAAAGGGTTTGTGGGGCTCCAGTGGGGGATGTGGAGTGGGGGGGGACCCTGGGTGAAATGGGCAGGGCCCAGGGAAGGGGTAAAAAGGGATGGGGCTGTGGACGGGGCCACAGGTGGAAGGGGTGGGGAGGGTCCCCACTTGCTCTGGCCCAGGGCCCCAGGAAACCTTAATCTGCCTCTGAGCTGCTCCTGGGGACACTCTTGGCCCATCTAGAGCGCAGGAAGTTACTGAAAAAAGGGAAAGTGTTCAGAGGCCCATGAGGAAATCCTGTAAAAACCCAGCCCCTGGTACAGCCCCAATGTACAGGAACACACCCCAGCCCAGAAGCTGCCATGTCTGTCCTAGGCTGGGATACAGAGTGGGAGATTTCCACCTGCCAAATCAGTGAAACCCAAGTGGGAGTGGAGCATTCCCAAAGACCAGTTACCCCAAGAAGGGGGAAGAGGGCTCAAACTTCCTGCCCTGGGAATGGCACTTAATCCTGAGGTAACTTGCTCTGCAGACTAAATTCTCCAAGTTATTGGCACCTCCCTTCTAGCCCCTTCTGATCATGTTGTATCTAAAGACTGAATGGCCATTGGACTGCAAACCCAATCCTCCCCTCCTTCTCTGGTCACAGTAGATGCAGCATCCTGTGGATTTCCCAGTGCAACTTCGCAAATGGGATCTCCTCTGCCCATTTCCCAAGTGGATCCAATTTTTATCTTGTGGCACCATAGACTTTACTTAATAGAAAGGAGTATTTTCCTTCCCCCATCTCCTGCCACTGATGCTGTTACATGCCCTCTTTCCCAGGCTGTGCCCAGGGACCCTGGGCTGGATCCATCTCAGCCCAGAGCTGCTCCCTGTGCTGGGGACAGTGTGAATGGGGACGTTTGAGGTGCAACACAAGACTGTCCCCAGTATCCCAGCGTAAGGAATTCTGGAGAGACTGGGAAGGTGCCATGTACCCAGCCCCATCCCTGGTAAAAATTTTGTGGCCTCTGGAGGTCAGGTCTGATCAGTGGAGTGATCTCTGCTGAAAGCCAGGGCTTGGAATGCCCTTTCCCATATCCCCCTGAAGCTCAGCGGGAGCAGGGAGTGATCTCAGCACAGAGCTCCGAGAAAGGAAATCTAACTAGTATATTAGGTTTCAGAGTAACAGTCATGTTAGTCTGTATTCGCAAAAAGAAAAGGAGTACTTGTGGCACCTTAGAGACTAACCAATTTATTTGAGCATAAGCTTTCGTGAGCTACAGCTCACTTCATCAGATGCATACTGTGGAAAGTACAGAAGATCTTTTTATACACACAAACCATGAAAAAATGGGTGTTTACCACTACAAAAGGTTTTCTCTTCCCCCACCCCACTCTCCTGCTGGTAATAGCTTATCTAAAGTGATCACTTTCCTTACAATGTGTATGATAATAAAGTTGGGCCATTTCCCGCACAAATCCAGGGTTTAGCAAGAACATCTGGGGGGGAGGGAGGAGGGTAGGAAAAAACAAGGGGAAATAGGTTATCTTGCATAATGACTTAGCCACTCCCAGTCTCTATTCAAGCCTAAGTTAATTGTATCCAATTTGCAAATGAATTCCAATTCAACAGTCTCTCGCTGGAGTCTGGATTTGAAGTTTTTCTGTTGTAATATCACAACTTTCATGTCTGTAATCGTGTGACCAGAGAGATTGAAGTGAGAGAGTGGGGTGGGGGGAGAGAAAACCTTTTGTAGTGGTAAACACCCATTTTTCATGGTTTATGTGTATAAAAAGATCTTTTGTACTTTCCACAGTATGCAGCTGATGAAGTGAGCTGTAGCTCACGAAAGCTTATGCTCAAATAAATTGGTTAGTCTCTAAGATGCCACAAGTACTCCTTTAGTATATTAGGTTGGCACCTTCTTATCCCCTAGAGCACTGGTTCTTAACCTTTACTGCAGCCTGCACCCCTTTAGTTCTCAAAATATGTTCTCGCACCCCTTATCAAAAATTGTTGAAATAGGTCGGTTCTTTAAACCTAGGTATATTTTTTGTTTGTATATTACAGTAATCCTTAAAAAATGTATAATGTTAATAAATACATAGGTCTGATGAAACAAAGTAGTTGTACTTACATGACGGTGCTTAATTTGTGTTTTTGGGGATTTAGCTTCTAAAAAAATCTGGCATGTCTCGCACCCCCAGAAAGGGCATCTCGCACCCCCAGAGAGTGTGTGCACCCCAGGTTAAGAACCACTGCCATGGAGTAAGCACATTTCCTCCCACAGAAAGTCTCACAGCACTTCTTCAATCCTGGATGCTGACGGTCAGAGTGGCAGCGATCTGGGGTATTATACATAGCGCATTTAAAGATGAAGGCAAGATAGGTTTCAGGTTTCCCTGCAAGAGAAGATCACTGCATAAACAAATCTTCTAGCACAGCATAATATTAATAAAGTCTGTGCAGCACCCAGCACAAAGGGTCCCCAAAAATACTAACTGAAGTAATAATAACTCAGAAGCCTTGTGGTTATTGGTGTGTGTTATGCTGCAAGTAGCGGGTGAGGGGGGCATAGCTTCAGTATTTGTGCTTCAGCTATCTGTAGTTGTATTTGCCTCTGCATTCTCCACAGGCCTGTTAACAGCTTTTGGAGGTGAAACAGACAAGTTGTCCATTGAAGAGAAATGCAATATAACTAGTGAACACCCCCTGCTTCCACTCTGCTGTCTAGGTGCATTTCCCACGCTGATGCAGGGGACCAGAGCTTCCAAATCCAGCTGCCAGGACCATTTCCTTTCTAAACCCAACATGACTGCCACCTTGAAGAGGTTAAATACTGTCACAAATGCCTTTCAGTTTGATTGACAGGTCATGCTCCACCCTGTGGGAAGCACAAAGTCAAGGAGGTGACTAAAGGGAGCAGTCCTTTCACTGCAACTCACTGAGTGGGGCCTCTCTGGCTGCTGCCCTGGAGAGACTATAAGAACTGGGACCTGCCCTATAACCAGCTGAGCTACCTGTGTGCCCATCAGTGCTCTCTGTCCTCTGTGAGTTTGCTGTCCTGGGCTGTTGGCTGGGGCAGGAGGAACTGTCAGCTGTCGGTACTTACCTGTTGCTACTACAAGGAAAGGTTCAAAATGTTAGAAACAGAAAATCCCTGTAAGGTCCCTTCTAACCCAGACCCCTCAGGCAGGGCAGGATTGTTCCTTACTCTGCATCAGGGGTGGCCAACCTGAGCCTGAGAAGGAGCCAGAATTCACCAATGTACATTGCCAAAGAGCCTCAGTAATACGTCAGCAGCCCGCCATCAGCTCCCCACCATCCAGCCCCCAGTGCCTCCCGCCCGCTGGCAGCCCCACCAATCAGTGCCTCCCCCTCCTCCCCATGCCTCCCGCCAGCTGTTTTGCGTGTGCTGGAGGCTCTATGGGGGAGGGGGAGGAGCAAGGGCATGGCAGGCTCAGGGGAAGGGGCAGGGGCCTTGGGGAAAGGGGTGGAGTGGGAGCAGGACCTGTGGCAGAGCCAGGGGTTGAGCAGGGAGCACCCCCCCACATTGGGAAGTTGGCGCCTGTTATTCCAGCCCCGATATCAGCACCGGTGCAAGGAGCCGCATATTAACCTCTGAAGAGCTGCATGTGTCTCCAGAGCCACAGGTTGGCCACCCCTGCTCTACATTGACCAGAGATGCATCCAGTCTAGTGTTAAATGTCCCAAACCATACAGTTCCCACCCCTTTTCTTGGGCGACTCATCACAGTCTGATACATCTCACAGCCAGAAGGAATGTCTTAATGTTCACCCTGGAATTTCCATTTCACCCCACTCAGTGCCCCCATGTGATACTCTGATTGTGCCCTGGCATTCCTTGGGTTCACACACTGAGAGCAGTGCATACAGCTCAGTGGGGCTGGATCTATGTGCTCTATGGGTTTAGCACTTTCAACCTCACCCCGTCTCCCACCCCCGACCATTTCAGTTGCTTTTCTCTGAACTCCTCCAGTTTGTCACTAAGAAGGGAAATCCGACCAGATGCTGGTGGCAACTTGGCCCAAAGGCTGAGGAGCCCCACAAAGAGGAAAATGCCCAGTTGCTTTGCTGTGTTGTCTCGGGAGGTAGGTCTGAATGCCTAGAGCTGAGTCACGCTGGTATTTAAAAATTTCACTCCAAGTGGTAGGGAGGAGAAGGGAGCAGAGAATGAGGTGCCTGGATCGATGCCAATATTTGTCCCCGTGTCTTGTGCCATTTCACAACCGGGTTCTTGTGTCTTCCTGCAACTCTTTGCACAAGAAAAACATGAGATTGACCCATCGCTGGGAAGAGTGAAATTCTCCCCTTGCTCAAGAGTTAGCTGCGGAGACAGTTTCAATGTGGAGTGGGGGCAAACTTGGAGGGGGCCTGTGAGAGTCGCTTGCTCCAGACAAGATAGAAGCCAGTAAACTATTGACTTCTGGGCAGGGGCCTTTGTCTGATGGTGAGGGCTGCAGGGACCCCTCTGCTCTCAGCTCCCGGGGTATTGCAGGCTGTCAGTGTCACTTGGTGCTCTGGGTTTGTGAATGTGAGAACTAACCCCTGCAGAGTACAGCAGGTTCATGCAACCCCAGCGAGTCTGACCATCCTGCTGCTCAGCACAGCCCAGCTCTTTGTCTTAGGAGGTTTTAGAGTGTCCCCCAACACCAGGCTCAGTATCTGCTGGGGCAGCCACCCCACTCGCTTCTCCCTGCTGCAGTTTTGGGCAGGTGATCCCTCCTGGTAATTCCCTCCTCTCCAATGGTTAAGGGGGTGTTTTCTGGGGTGAGAGTCCTGCCCACCAGTATCCCCCTGCCACCGCTTACAGTGTAACATGTGATGCTGCTACTGGCAGTCAGCCTGGCATAATGATCACAGCAGAGTCTAATGGGATGGGGGCAGCCAAACATCAGCGAGTGCAGGTGAATCTACCATGGTGTTATAGGGTGACACTGGGCCTTTAAAAGGGAGCAGGGCTGCTGCAGCTGTGACTGGTCAGCTGACTCTGAGCTTTAAAAGGGGGCACCTGGCC